CATAATTCATAATAATTATTCCAACTTTAAAAAAATCAAATTAATGATTTTTTAGTATTGGTATTCAAATTAACACCTGCCCTGAAAATGTTCAATATCTAATCATTCCGATGACCCTACCGAGCATTATGATTTGCTTGGGTCTAATACATGTATACTAATTTTTTAATAAATAATTTATTTTTTGTGTAAAAAATAAACACATCTTACATGTGTACCTAGATCCACTTTCTTTTTTTAATTTAATTCTGAGAATCGACTAAACGATTTTTATTGAGCGCACGTATTAGGAATGTTAAGGGCATATTCATATACGTATATAAATTTCAATAAAATGTTAAGATATTGAACGCTAGAATTCTCTAGATTTTTGATAGTATTCTTTAGAGACTATTTATTAGCTATATAATAAAACAGTTTATTATATGATTGAATAATTTCCATCTCTCTGATTGGCTGAGATCCAACTACAGTCAAACTTGTTTTAAGAAGCCACCTTTGGGAAGTCTGGAAACTGGCCACTTAAGACAGGTGGCCTCTTATTCCAGTTTGCCCTCAAAAAGGACATTTGTCAATAAATAAACAACATTAAGCACTACATTTTAATTAATTAATCATAATTAAACAGTTCAATTTCACAAAAACTTTTTATGTGCATATAAAATAATTAAAGCTCGTTTAAAAAGAATACTAAAGAATTCGAAATGTTTAAGGTTTTGTGCATGTTTCTGTATAGATCTATATATTAGTTAAACATCATGCATTCATAAGTGTGCTTTTGTTACATTGAATTATTTTTAAAAAATTCTTTCAATTTCCATTTGAAGAAATACATATAGTGCCTGACTATTATCCTTTTTATAAAGAAAAAAACAACATAAAAATACAGTTTAATGGTTAATAAAACAAATCAAAGGAATTTAAGTAAAAATATGTCAAAAATTCACTTACATAATTATGTTTAAAAGATAGTCAGCAGTGTACCCCCCCCCCCCCAACTTAATCAATCGGTAATTAACTTACTTGCTGAAGTTTATAAAGTCTGATTAATTTTATTGTTTAGCTGTCAGAATTTCTATATAAAATACACAGACACACAAATAAAATTAACCAGTTGACCAGAGATATGTATTTACGCAGTTGAAAATCATTCCATAACACAGGTGTCAAATTCAGTAGAGCGTGACTAATCCCTATCGATCGTCTCTTGATAGTGAAATTCACGAGATAATCATGCCATATGAAGCACTTTGTTTTTTTTTAATTTTAAAGTAGCAATTAGGGCTTCTACATGGAATCAAAATCTAAAGGTGTGAATATCTTTAGCTAGAGGAAAGTATCAATTGTACAGTAATAATTTTTTTTTTCTTTTTGGTAGTCAGTTTTCCCTGATATAAATACTCCTTCCTTTCAAAATCTATCCTATAAAAATACTGACAATATATATATATTTTTTATGGCTACCAAAATTGATTAAAAAAAAAAAATCAAATTGATACGACTGGTAAGGTTTATTCACATTTTAATTCTGTACTCTCTTGTTTTTGGCTAGGACTTAATAAAATGCAAACAAGTAATGAGCTGTATCATTTTATGAGTGAATCATATAATGAAACAATTATTGCTGGGTTTTTTGGTCAATACAATGATTTAGCCATCTTCGAAGTACAATCAGTGAATATTGTACTCCTCAGATAGCTAAATCATTGTATTGACCTCAAAAACCAGCAATAATTGTATATTATTGACCTCTGACCTCTAGTGCTATAAATAACCTACCGCCAGTACTTCCTAGATCTCTAGCAAGGGCTTCATCCAGACTCGGTCGCAACAAAACTCGAGAAAACTGTGAGGTTGGACCTACAAATTAAAAAAACTTAACATTACAAAAAGTTACAATATGATTTTGTGATGCTAATATTACTTAATATTTACAATATGGTAAAGGCTTCTGAGAAAGAATAAGGATAACAATATCATTATCTGTTTTTTTTTTATATGACATATCTTCTGACACACATAAATTCAAAGTGAAAGATTTACAACTTCAAATTTTTTTTGCCAGTTCTGACCGGTTTATCGACACTTTATTGATCAATCTGACAAGATATGTCCTTAAATTTGTTGTTTTACCTGAGGTTGAAATGACAGCTCGACAGTAGGAAGTCACATTGGAGGACACTTCTAAAAATACCACTCCGAGTTCCGAACTCAAGTCCTTCCCCCGAGTCGACTCGTCAGATTCCAGTAACTTGAGTTGTTTGTTGACTTTCTCAGATATACAGTACTTTGGCATCAATGCCAACATCTGTCTCTCAATCCTGACCTTTTGACCTTTCAACTCTATTCCAGCTGGGTCAATGTCACCAAATTCCGCATCTGGAATGCATGTTTTGTACACCATTAGAAACAAGGATACATACAGAGTTTGAACAATTTTTAACGAACTTGTGATAAACAATAGTACCAGTGAAAATTTCATAATGAACAGAATCAGCTTTGACAAACATAACAGTATTTACCTCTGGAGTTAGCTCGGGTCAGTACCGCTGTAGTTAGAGCTAGTTCTCGTAGAGCTGGGAGACTTAAACTGGGCTGTCTGTCTCGTAGAATTCCGTGGAAAACTTCTCCATGAGACAAAATAAACTGCATCACCTATATAACAGCAGGGAATGGTGAACAATTCTGTAAAATGTTTGTGGGGGGTCTGATATTTCTGGATTCCATGGGTCACCCTTACCCATAAAATTACATTCCTACGACAATATTTTTTTTAGTGTATCAATTACTCGATTCTAATCTATCTTAAGTTTAAGTTATCTATGAAATTATGTCTACAAGAACATGTTAATTGACTATGAACACTGATACCCAAAAGTCAAAGCATGACAAAGTCTACTTGATATTCTACTTTCTAGGGAACTATCTAAATACTGCTTTAGGTCCATAAGGGGTTCTGCAAATACATGTATAGTAGATATTCACCTGATTGCCACAGTCCTGGTTTTCTTTGCCCAGTGAGGTCAGCATGGCCAGACAGAATTTGAGGGCTGCAAAGAGAAGTTGACGATAGCGGGCCATGGGGCTGGGCAGGAAATCCTCCTCTGTATCTACACCGGCTTCATCTCTGTAGAAATCATATCAACGTCAATAATCAACATGACTGCAATTTTGCTTGTGAAATGCTTACAAAACTTTTAATCCTTATTCAGTAATTATATGCAAACTTCAAAATTGTCAATCTCTATACTGATATTGGTAATTTTAAACACGTTTATTTGCATTTGGACATACTTGATTTCTATAGACATTCACAAGACCCTACAGCTGACACACCCACCTGTCAAAGTTAGGTCGAAGGTCAAAGAAGACACATCCTGCCAGTCTCTGCATGACTCCACACTGTAACAAGGTGTGGGCCCCCACAGCTGATTCTGCCACCCGAGTCAACAAACTCTGAAACACAGTTACTTTGACTTTTTCTGTATTTCATTTTACATGTAAGTCAACTTACTTTGTGACACACAGTGAATTTTTATTTTTATGTCAGAGCCCTTAAATTTAATATCAATATAGAAAATCAAAGGACTACAGCTAAATCATATTTTTTGCATGTGTTACAGATAAATGTTTCGTTATATGCATGATGACAAATGTGGGGGTAGAATTAGGTAGTAATGGAAGACCTACAAGTTTAGACAAGTAGATGTACAGCACTCTGAGTTGGGGGGTGGGGGACACAAGGGTCTGTAGTGACTGGTCGTCATGGAGAAGGCTGTCCACCAGGTGTTGGAGGTAACCTTTAGAGGACACAAAGGTCATCCACTGCTGGAACTTGTCCATAGACAGAATGGTGTCCAGTACTGATAGAGCCAGCATCTACAACAGACAATATTTAATAATATAGGGCATGCGCTGCTGGAACCTGTTCAAAATGAAACCAATTGAACTAAAAATACAGAAGGATTTCAAGACTCCCTCCTTACCCTTCCTACATCATGACCATCACATGCATCCCGACACACCATGTCCATAAAGTTATCACCATATGATAGAATGGTAGCCACATTTTCACGCCTCAGCTGTTCATACTCAGAGTGGGCGTCGGCCAAAATCCTCTTCCCAACCCCATCACCTCTGTCAGAAAAAGGAAAAGGAAACATCGTTATACTTGTAAATCTACGTCATGCTAGTTTTAAGATTTGTATTTCATATAGTACTTGAAGAGCATGTCTGTATTTTAAATACATACAATTTTGACCTATGTATGCCACAAAGTATGAACAAACTCTGTGTTCTGTTTACATTCAGGCTTTGACATATTACTATGAATTATATTCTTCAATAAGACATGTGACATTTAGATAGACGATATACCTGTATCTGTGTGAGTTAGTGACTTGGGTTTCTGTGCGATTTGTAGATAATACAGCAAGGCCCCGTAAAGATTGGCTCTAACTCTCTGTTGGCCACCACCTAAACAGAAAAAGATATTGATAAATATTTCTTAGTTTTGTACAATATTGTTTTTTATTATATAGTCTATTTATAGTCCCTATATAATCTTTACAAACGCAAACAGTTCATAACACTACTTATTCATCAGATTTTAGGCTGTATTCTCCGGAGGGTCAATGCGAGTGCAGAAGCGATTGTGACGTCATTCAAATTATGAAGTAACGTTATTGTTAAACCATGTCGGTAGAGTTGAATGCAGTGAATGTGGATGAACAGAAATGCAGATTTGCAAGTATATCTGAAGAAGATCATCAGAAAATCCTTCTGGAAAAAGATGCGTTAAACACGCAGAAAGCAACGGATGTAGCCGTAAAGATTTTCAAAGCCTACCTTCAGGAAAAGTCTCTGGATGAAAATTTTGATGCCGCACAACTGGACGCTATTCTGGTTAAATTTTACACAGAAGCACGCTCATCAAAAGGTGAACTGTATAAAAAATCATCCTTGACGGCCATTAGACACGGGATTAATAGACATTTGAAAAACTTTGATATTGTTCCTGGTGTAGAATTTACAAATTCATCGAAAGCTTTCATGGCGATGAATGTGGAATTAAAACATCAGGGGAAAGGAGGGGTTGACCACTTGAATCAGCAGATCTAGAAAAATTGTACAATTCTTTTGATTTAACCAAACCTAAATCGCTACAGAGTAGAGTCTTCGTTGATATTATGCTGCATTTTGGGAGGCGTGGACGAGAGAACTTGAGAGACCTACAAATATCCGACTTTTCCTGCTCAACAGACGCCGATGGATGGAAGTATGTCTATCTAAACAAAGATGAACTTACTAAAAGTCACCAGAATGATCCTAATTCTACCGATGGACGAATGTATGAAATTAAAGGTATGTATTGATTTAAAAAAAATAAGTATATTTGTACGTATGATAGTCTAAATTTTTTTAACTTTTAATTTAGCTTTTAAATAATAAATCAATATATAATATTGTTTTCAGACGATCCTCGATGCCCAGTCCAGTCATTCCTGGATTACATCAGTATGCTAGCACCCAGATCTACAACACTGTTTTCAAGAGCCCGAAAGACAAAAAATAAGAGCGGATATTATTTTGACAAGGCTCCTATGGGTCATAACAAGTTAGGCACAATGATGGCTTTGCTTAGCGAAAAAGCTGGTCTCTCCCTGAAATACAGCAATCACAGTTTGAGGGCGACGTCTGTACACATTTTAGAAAGCGCACAAGTTCCCACACGACACATTATGACAGTTACCGTACACAAAGCAGAATCGAGCTTGAAAACGTATACTGGATATACAGATGAAAATACCAAGAAACACATGTCTCATACTATAAGCCGCAGCATGGGTTTGAGAGTCGAGAATGCAGAAAATGGGCCTCCGCGCAAAGTCTCCAGATTAGCTAATCAACCCGGAATTGAAATTCTGAATAACGTCCAATATGGTAGATTTGAGATACAGGAATTTGATGATGAGGAGTTTAATGCTCTACTAAGGGACATACCAGATCTCAGTAGTTTGCATACGAATAATGCTCAGGCAATAAGCTACTCTGCACCTCAGATTATCTCAGGAGTCTGGCCATTCCCAGCTCCCGTAATTTCTGGACAATATGCAAATGTTACAATCAATTATCAAATGCTCCAGAAATCAACACTTATTAAGTAATTTAAATGTTCCCGAAAATTAACTATTTGATGTAATTTTGAAGAGTTTTATGTGTACGTTTTCACGTTTTACTGTTGACATTGTTTGTATTGTTACATGTAGTATTTCTGATATAAAAATATTTATTACAGAGATTGAATTTTTTCTATTGTTTAGACTATATCATAAAACAATTATGGACTCTTTTGGTGTTGAATATGGTTTGTTATTCACCAGAAAAATATCAATATTGACCGAGGCGAAGCCAAGGTCAATATTGATATTTTTCTGGTGAATAACAAACCATATTCAACACCAAAAGAGTCCATAATTGTATGATATTACAGATTCCTGAACATGCATTTAAAAATATTTCTTTTCAGCAAAAAAAGTATGTACACTTCAGATATTTCTATATATTCTTACTTGAAAGCAGAATGTGATCTATTACTCCTCTAAGCACCAGTTGAAGGGAGGAAGCAAATTGGGTTCGTGACCCTGACACTTGACCCCATGACCCTGTTTGACCTTGACCTGCTGTGGTGTCTAGCATGGTGAGGAAGTGTGAGGTTTCATCGTTGGAGACAGAATCCTGACAGAAACACTGACGTAGATTTGTCATCAGAGTCAGGATAATCCCAGCCACAGGGGCAGTTAACTCTGTCAAGGCATCATCTTCCGTCACCTAAAAATAATGAGTAGATTGATGTTAAATGCAGTATCAAGGAACGCAATACTACAACTTTTTTTCTCTGTAAAATCAAAATTTCCCCTCACTTTTCCCCAAATGAAAGCAATTGTCAACATGAATATTGTGATAGAAGGAAAATGTTAAGGTACCATTTTTCCATACTCTTTTTGCAGGATTTACACTTAAACCTTAAGTTTACAGATGAAATTTTGCCAATACCTGGCATTAATTAGATTCTCATGTTCTTGTACATTAATACCACATACTTCAGGGTTGGATGGTAAACAAGACACACAGATGTTGTTCTACCTTTCTCTGTAGTTCCTGTAGCAGCTCAAACAGTACAGTCTGTCTGTCCTCAGCGGTCAGTAGGTCCTCAGGACACGCGGTCAGAAGAACCTCGGTCACCTGACGCCACGCCTCCAGAGCCTGCTGTTTGATGGACAGTTCCTGGCGGATTCTGACACCACACCTTCAGAGCCGGTTGTTTGGTGGACAGTTCCTGGTGGATTCTGACACCACGCCTCCAGAGCCTGCTGTTTGGTGGACAGTTCCTGTCGGATTCTGTTACGTAGCACCACGTGGTGAAGAATATTCTCCACTTCCTGAAAAGTTTATAAAACTTTTACGTTTTGCTGAAATGTTGACATCCCTGGGGCAGGTCAAAGAAATTAAGACACGTACCATGAAAGAAACAGCCATCATAGAGAAGAGTGAAATCAATGGCATAAGATTGGGCCGGAAAGACTGTGTAGCTAGCTTTACATCACCTGACACAAAGAGGATTAAGTAAGGAGGGATCTTAAATGCTTAATAATTGGGATATCGATCTCACCTCTAAAACTCGCGGTCTCTGAGTCACCATGATGTTGCCCTGGTAGTTGTTAAGTTCGTTCATCAGTAAGCAGTGAAGTCGTTTGACATCACAATACAAAATGTCCTGTTCGGTCTGAGTTTCTACACTTTTAATGGCTTGTTCAATCATCGACAATTCGAAAAACTCCAACTTCATTTTAGGAGGGTAACGCTGTGAAAAGTCAACTTCATACAGAAATCCTAGTAACTTCCTGCTCACTTGGCGGCCTGAAAAACGAAAATAAAGCCTAAACAAGTGTTTATGAGCAAAAGAAGAGCAGTGTGATAATTTTTTATGTTTTTCTTTGCTTACTCCTGAACGGCCTGGCTGTCTGAGACAGATAAGATTTCTGTAGACTCTGTTCTGTAAATATGTCATACGTCAGGTCAGTTTCGTCTCCTAATGCTGGCTGTAACACTGTGAGAATCACATTTTAATTATTACTTTCTTTGGCAAATCAGACCGGTTTGATTTTTTGTAAAGCTGTTATTAAACTTGACTTTACCATTTTAACCCCCTGAATACACATGGATCAAGACATTCATTAACCTCAGCTTGTGTGACCTTTGAACTTGACCTTACCTGTTTGACCTTCTGACCCATCATCCAGCAGGGCCTTCATTAACCTCAGTGTGTGTGACCTTTGACGGTTCAGTGCAGTCAGTCGCAGTTCAATGGCAATAAGCCTCAGCAACTATGACTGAGAAATCATTACAGGACGTTCTAAAAAGACAATTACATATTAAATAATAAACAAATTTTGACTAGTTTCTCTATTAAAATCATTTTTGTCACAAAATACAAAAATTCACTGAGACAAATCTTAAATGAATAAAATAATCTAGATTTTTAAAAACATTTTCTTCACAAAATATGAAAATTCTTAATTGAATTTGAACTCACTATAAAACTGCTGAGTGAAAGGTAGATGCTGGAGCTGCCTGAACAGGAAGTCCCTGGTTGTACGTAAATATCGTAAAGTGGGCGTCGACGTCTCCTTGTTGGCAGCCAGGAGGTAGATGAGTTTGTAGGCCAGCTCAGACAGTCGTGGAGTGTCCCTCAGGCAGGTGGGGCCGGAGTGTGTCCCCACCCCCCTCTCTAACAGGGACAGGACCGCATGTAGACAGGTCTTAGGGGACCCTAGGATACCTGGTTTTAGAAATATTTGAATCTTTTGCAATTAGACTAAAATATAAAAACATATTCAAAACAAAGTTTATCAGAAATCAGGATTATAAAACCCCTTTATGACGATTTTAAATATGCTAAATTAACTTTTGTCAGGGATAACTTATTATTGTGCACAACACCAAAAACATTTGCAGATCATTTAATAATTCCATCAAATCTTATTTAATGAAGTGTAACTGTTTTCATAAAGTAGACTTACTACCTGGTAATTCCTCCGAGTCATAAAAATAAGTGTACAAGTGCAATGTTCCCAGAAAAATCCCTCTGATAAGATATCTCACCTGGATCCTGGAGCAGAGTTCTGCTTAAAGACTAATCCTAAAGCCCAGCAGCAGGTGTGCCAAGTTTGGTGAAGGTTGGTCTAGAGATCTCAGTAGGACCTGAATTAGGTACTGTCTGGTGGAGTTAAGGACGTGGCCAATCTCACGGGAATCATCTGTTACAATAAAGCTAATCATTGTTAAAGTGACATTATAATGGTGGAGTTACAGACGTGGCCAATCTCACGGGAATCATCTGTTACAATAAAGCTAATCAGTGTTAAAGTGACATTACATGTATAATGGTGGAGTTACGGACGTGGCCAATCCTACGGGAATCATCTGTTACAATAAAGCTAATCAGTGTTAAAGTGACATTATAATGGTGGAGTTACGGACGTGGCCAATCCTACGGGAATCATCTGTTACAATAAAGCTAATCAGTGTTAAAGTGACATTATAATGGTGGAGTTACGGACGTGGCCAATCTCACGGGAATCATCTGTTACAATAAAGCTAATCAGTGTTAAAGTGACATTATAATGGTGGAGTTACGGATGTGGCCAATCTCACGGGAATCATCTGTTACAATAAAGCTAATCAGTGTTAAAGTGACATTATAATGGTGGAGTTACGGACGTGACCAATCTCACGGGAATCATCTGTTACAATAAAGCTAATCAGTGTTAAAGTGACCTTATAATGGTGGAGTTATGGACGTGACCAATCTCACGGGAATCATCTGTAACAATAAAGCTAATCAGTGTTAAAGTGACATTATAATGGTGGAGTTACGGACGTGGCCAATCTCACAGGAATCATCTGTTACAATAAAGCTAATCAGTGTTAAAGTGACATTATAATGGTGGAGTTACGGACGTGGCCAATCTCACGGGAATCATCTGTTACAATAAAGCTAATCAGTGTTAAAGTGACATTATAATGGTGGAGTTACGGACGTGGCCAATCTCACGGGAATCATCTGTTACAATAAAGCTAATCAGTATTAAAGTGACATTATAATGGTGGAGTTACGGACGTGGCCAATCTCACGGGAATCATCTGTTACAATAAAGCTAATCAGTGTTAAAGTGACATTATAATGGTGGAGTTACAGACGTGGCCAATCTCACGGGAATCATCTGTTACAATAAAGCTAATCAGTGTTAAAGTGACATTATAATGGTGGAGTTACGGACGTGGCCAATCTCACGGGAATCATCTGTTACAATAAAGCTAATCAGTGTTAAAGTGACATTATAATGCCATTCTTTGAACTTCTCAGAAATTTAAAACATTATATTTGCGTTAATGTTTACATTAATATCTGAGAGAGAAAAGTGCAATTCTTTTAGCATCAACTATATATGCAGGAATATTTCTGTTTACATCATTTTCAAACTATCATTCCTGAAAACAATTTGATTTGATTTTCACAAAGATACAGTTAGAACTGCTTATGAGATAACGTTATTTCAAATTTGCCCAAGTTAAAAAAGGGAGGAAAGGGGGGGGGGGGTTCACTGTAATTACCGTATGTGGAAATTTTAGCAAGACGCAAATTTAGCGATTTGTTCTTAAAAACTGGTATTTTATTTTAAGCGAGATGTAATTTAGCGATTTAAAAATGTTAATTAAAGAACCTATTACAAATATTACGCAATAAATTTTTAGCAATATGTAATTTTAGCGATCTCAGCAGCCTCGCTAACAATGCCAAAATTAGATCTTCGCTAAAATTTCTACTTATACGGTATACAGTATTGTTTAAAAAAAAGGGGAATTCAAAACTATAAGAGATCAATCCACACTGTTGGGATTCCTAGTTACCATCTTCCTCAGGTTTATCAGATGAATGCCCCCTAGCTTTACACATCAATGTTGAAGCCATTTTTAGATGGAGGCTTAGCCTCCGCTCTATTGGTACCGCTCAGCTGCGGCGGAAGGGAATTTGCGACCGCCATCTAGCGGCTAATCACGTTAACTTTGATTAGCTTGGTCCCCTGGCTCATCCTTTCCAAGGCAGGAGTACATGAAGCAAAACAGGGACAGGGAACCAGGCTAAACTTTGATAAACTGGCCTGCCTGTCT